AGGAAATGTTTCAAGATTTCAAGAAAAATTGCTATCTTCAACAAGGCCATATCTCTTCAGGCTTGCAACTGTCTCCTCTTTGGCACTGACCAACACAAAATGTATTATTATTGCATGCAAAGAACAACCGAACTGAACACCAAAACACAAGTACACTACTTTAGTCCAGCCAGGAAAAAAAAAAATTATGACAAAAGAGAAACAAATCTCAACACTTTCTATCACAGTCAGTATGTTTGTGTGTGCACCTGGTTATTCATAACCTACTATAAATGGAAAACACAATTTTTTTTTTTGTTTCTCCTAAATTCTCCATAATTTTTCAGCTTACAACTAGACCAGCATAAAATCTAAAAATTAAATGTCTGAACTCTGAAGACAGGTAGGTATCGTATCTTTCATATTTTGCCTTTTTCGATCACTCTCAAGATAAATTATATATCATAATGGTGAGGAAAGGATAGAGCCATGAGCGTTCTAAAAAGACCAACGTTTGACTTCAGTAGAAGCAGAAAAAAAAAAGTCCTCGTAAAAAGCAATAGTCCATTTCACTCGACTTATTCGAGGTATAATTATTTTACGGAATCACTAAAAAGATTGTATGAGATAAAAGGATGTGTTTACTGCTTACCTTCCGGGCCTTAGAATCTTGTACTGTCCTAACTTAGTAAGATCCACCACAGTTGACCCAGCACGGCCCGATGGAATCGGGCCACCATTGTAGATATAAGCACAGTGGGCCCACAGGTTTTCAAAGTCTTTAACATCCACACTACTGGGCTTCCCACTGAGGTTAGCACTCGTGAGGGCAATAGCACTATCTGAACCACGGCAAATTAATCTAATGAAATTAGAATCAGGCACCCGTACACCTATGCTGTCCAGTCCAGGATTTAGAGACTTGTCTAGGATACTCGAGTCCCCTAGAAAATATTTTATTCAAAACAAAACTGAACATAAGACAAAAAAATAAAGAATAACTAGATATCTAAGTCACAGATCTTATACTTTGGTGATCAGAGGTTTTGATTCTAAGGCTATGTTTGGTAACCAAATAAGACAGCTTATAGCTTGTTTGGTTACCTTATAAGCTTCGTTTGGTAAGACGAGTTTTTTTAAAAAGCTCGAACTTATTTTATAAGCTTCTTTGGGTAGTTTTTCAAATAAATTTGTTGAAATTTTTATTTTAGCTGGTTTATCAGCTAATTTATCTAGCTTTTCAGCTATAAATTATAAGCTCGAAAATCACTTATAACCTATAAGCTAGCTTATCAGCTAGTTTTACCAAATATAACCTAAATGGATTAGGGGAAAAACCTTCAATTGGAGTCACAGGACATTAGGACAAACATCAACACAGTTATGAGCTCAGCAGTTCACGGACCTCGTTTTAGCACTACTGTTACGGGTCCTGGGAGAAGTGAGTCGAGCAAACCGGGAGGCAAATGGTCGGTCGTGGCAAAACGTGATATGTCTTTTACATCTCCTACACTAATTGCCAAAGGACTCGTATTTTTACGCCCTTTGATCTTGTATATCCTTTGAACGGCTTCCATTATGCTAATAAGAACACAAACAAGAAAATCAAAGATAAACCCATCAGCAGCCACTACATTATTTTCTAAAACCTCGACGCATCCAAATTTCATATTCCGACGAGTTTCTGTTCAAGTGTCTGTCTTTCTAAATCCATCACATTTCACACACATGTCGATCTATGAATATCAATAAACGTAACATTGTAGAAATAGCAATGAGTTCTACTGTATACACAATATTGTGGAACTTTATGCCCAAGACCAGTAAT